AAAAAAACATTTGTAAGAAGAATCTGTAGTATTTTCGAGAGGTCTAAACTCTCATTTTTTTTTCCGAAGAAACTTTTCACTTATATAAAAAAAAACACTACAGTTCGAGTGCTAACACCAAAGCGTACGTGCTTTCACTGTTGCACCAGCATGATCGTTCTTGTCGTCAATACAAAGCTACCAGTGCATTCTGTCCAGTTAACTTAATACTATTTGTTGCTTTTCACTTCAAATTTGATTTAAATATGGAATTTTCAGACCAAATTGAGAAGCAGAAGTAATGATAAGCAGTTTGCGGCGGCCACCCAGTCCACAGCTGCCAGTCACATCCAGCTGCCGGCAAGCAATAACGGTGAACAGAAGAGTGCTTTAGTCGGTCCCGCAAAACCAAACACTACCAGCAGCTTTACGGAGTTCCTAGTTCCCAGCGGCGGAAAATCTACCCCAACCCTCCGTTGCGTCACCTATACGTTCGCTAATCAGCACTTTGCTGCCCTAAGCCAGGCCACACCTCGTCACACTCAGTCCTCCACAGGCGTTAGCGATGAACAGTTCACTTCTCCAGTCCGCCTTGTAGGATCGACCACTGTCAGCAGCTCTGCGAAGTTCGTAGCTGCGAGCGGCGCAAAATCTCCCCCAGCAATACGTGGCGTCAGCTATTCGATTGCTAATCAGCATTTTGCCCCGTTCAGCCAGCCCACAGCTGCCAGTCGCACCCGGCTCTCGGCAGGTATTAACGGTGAACTGTCTACCGCTTCAGTTGTCCCTGCAGGACCCGCTACCACCAGCAAGTTTGCGGAGCTGGCAGCTCCGAATGACGCGGAATTTCGCCCAGTCACTGGTGGCGTTAGCCATTCGGAATCCGTCGCCACCCAGTTCATAGCTGCCAGTCACACACATTCCTCGCCAGGCATCAACGGTAGTCAGTCTACCGTATCAGTTGCCCATGCAGAACCCATCACTACCATCAACCATGAGGAGATCCGAGCTCCGAACAATGCAAAATCTCGCCCAATCACGGGTGGTGTAAGCTATTCAGAATTCGTCAATCAGCAATTTGCTGGCCCCAC